GGGGTATAAAAGGCTGGAGCAAGTGAACACAATGTCTAGTTGGCAAGATGGAGATCAAGAAATAGCTATAAGTGTCAGCAGAGGTAAGTATGTTTGGAAATACATTTTCAGATTAGGAAAATAATAACTTCTATGAGTGATTCTAGTTTCTAGTGTTTGAGTACTGTGTTTTAAAGGGTAAATTACATTAACCTGATTCAGTGGATCTATCTTGTAGGAAGGTAGTGAAGATGAAATAGAAGACAGTGGAGCAGAATGTGTTATTTGTATGAGTAACTCTCGTGATACTCTGATACTTCCATGCCGTCATCTCTGTTTATGCAATAGCTGTGCTGATTCCTTGCGTTACCAGGCCAACAACTGCCCTATCTGTAGATCTCCATTTCGTGCTCTTCTCCAGATACGAACTGTCAGGAAATCAAATGCTGGCATTTCCCAACTGAGTGGTAGAGGAGATACTCAGGTAAAAACTCAGGATAAATGCACATCAAAAGTTAGCTGTTTAACTGTTTTCTTATTGGGTTAAAACCACTGAATATAGTGTTTAATATAGGTTGTAAACAGTTGTTTAACAGTTGTTTTTGTTCAAAATAAAGGGTTGATGTTGGTTTATCTCTTTAAGTATGGCATGACTTTATTTTAATGTTTTACAGTTATGGTTTCAGGTGCTAAATTTTGGTAATGTTTATTTTCTTCATGAAGGCTTCCCCAGATGTACCTCTTGGTTATGAACCTGTTTCGTTGCTTGAAGCTTTAAATGGACCCTATCAACCTCCTGTTCCACGTTCGCTGTCTATCAGTATGTATCACACATTTTTTTTGTCCTACATTTCTTGTAAGACATACAGCCATAAACCTTGATTATTGATGTATTATATATTGATTTGTTTCATGTTATAACATTGTATCTGAATTGCAGTGGCAGTCCAGCCTCCTCTACCCTTAAGTACAGATAGTGCTGATGTTCAAGTGAAATCCAGAAGTCTGGAAAGGTAAAAGAAGTTGTGGGTAATATTTAATTGTGATGTTGATGTAGTTTGTAACAAACGGTCTACTGTTATTAACACTGTGAAAGATTGTTTCATGTGAAACTATTAACGATTATTGTGTGGAACTGAATTTCTGGTTGTTATTGTTTCTTTCTGACATAGTGACTAGAACCACAGGACTGGTAGTCATGATGGAAAGAAGTGAATTTAAGAATCCTTTTCAAAGATGCTTTCATACATATTAAGTGCAAGTTTTATTATTATATTCTCTTTAACCATTTGTGTACATCTGTTTCATGATAACATAAAAGATGATACGTTTTTAAGAAGCTTCTCCAAAGATGCATTGAAACATCTTAATTATAAATGTAATATTTTATTAATATCTACATGTCTTACCTTTTTTATTCTTAGGTTACAGTCCTCCAGTGTTTCCTCTTTGCAAGTTCACGGAGTGAGTTGTGACCATGACAATAAAGATTCTGGGAGTAAACTATTACAGCCAGATAGACCCACAACTCCTGAAGTTGTAATTGCTGCAGCTTCTTCATTCTCAGACAAAACTCATCCTCCATGTCACAGGAAAGGTAGTCCTAGGTCTATGTCGGGACCAGAGAAAGTATGTCTTCTTAGAGAGAATGTACAAATTGTGAATGAAGTAGAAGGGACTAAAACAAATGTGGTTAGTATTATATATTACCAATACTACCTTATAGAATAATGTGTGAGAAAAGAGGACGAAGTTTTAAATGTGGTTAGTATTATATATTACCAATACTACCTTATAGAATAGTGTGTGAGAAAGGAGGAGG